CAGGTCCAAGCCAGTAATCCCACAGGATGTTTCCAACTCTACAATGAACTGCCTTTTGTTTTCTTTTTCTTACTGAACTGAAATTGCAACAGTTTAGCATTTAATTCCTCTCAGTTTGTATTTGCTGGCTTTCCAAATTTTAACTATCTGAGGAAAAATTACACTTAAGTTTCTTTTGTACCCTACCCCTCAAAACAGGCACAAGCATTCAACAAACACCTATGGAGCAGATCCCTCAAGAACTACCTGTTACTGTAAAAACAAACCCCTAACTCTAAGAGAGATGCAATTCAAAACAACTATGAGATATCATCTCACCCCAGTAAGAATAGCAAAGTTTGACAGAACAGCAAGCAACAAATGCTGGTGAGGTTGTGGAGAAATTGGAACCCTTATTCACTATTGGTAGGAGTGTAAAATGGTGCAACCACTATTGGAAGGCAGTATGGCACCTTCTCAAAAAGTTGCAAATAGAAATACCATTTGACCCAGCAATTCCACTACTCAGAATATACCCTAAAGAAACCATAACTGCCACCCAAGCAGATACATGCACACCTATGTTCTTTGCGGCTTTGTTCACAATAGCAAAGAGTTGGAAAAAACCCAAGTGCCCATCAACAAACAAATTGATAGAGAAGCTGTGGTATATTCACACAATGGAATACTATGCTGCATTGAAAAACAAGGAACTCATGCAATATTATTCAAAAAGGGTGACCCTGGAGGACATTATGCTGAGTGAAATATCTCAGTCACAAAGGGACAAACACTGCATAATGCCACTGTTATAAAACAGGACTGATATTGGGGTTGGGGGAACCTAACAAAAGAGGGTTTAAATAATGTATACTGCATTGAAACAGATGAGGGAGAGAACTCTTTGAATAGAATATATGATTAGGTATTATTGTCATGACAGGAGTCCAGAATGAGCTCCACGGGAGAGTGGATTTGGGAGGGAAGTTGTATAATAATGAGTTTTGTTGGTTTGTGTTTTTTTTTTTTAACTTATCAAAGAGAAAAACCAACTGGGGTGAGGGGTGGGCAGGGAGGAAAATGTGCAACAATGAATGAATGGAAATCCAAAATCTCTGTACAAATGCATTAAAATTAATAAAAGAAAATAAACCAAAAAAAGAAAAAAAAACACCCAAAAAACAAACCACAAATGTGAGCCTGACATTTGGCTATGAGGTCTTACAGCTTATGTTACATCTATGTTACATGTCTCATTTAGGGAAGTGCAGGGGCTGTAAAATCCAGTTTAGTGTACATTCATTTTATACACTGGAAATTTCCCATTCCAGGGAATCCCAAAATGTTCAGATCTAGTTTATTTACAATTTTAACAGTAAAGAAAACACTTAAATTAGCTAACAGATTCCTTGTTCTCCTCCCCACACCAAAAAATCAAACCAAAACCCATCTCAACTCCTCAGAGTATTTTGTTAACTTCTGATTAAAGAGTATAAATATAATAGTGTAGTATCAAGTAATGTTATATAGTGTAAAAAAATCAAGCTTTATTTTTGAAACATTTCGGATTCTTTTGTATCACATGAAACAAGCAAAATTTACAGACTGATTTCATCCTAAAGTTCCAAATCCCTGACCCTAGATATAAAATTAAATTGCAAAATCCAAGTGCTGACAATTATACTACAGGCAGTATTTTAAAGAAAGTGTTTTCAGCAAGTAAGTGAAATGAAGCTTTAATCAAAAGAATTAATCACACAGGCTACAGTCCAGTCAGGTGTCTTTGATTCCAAGTCAAGGGACAGTGTTACGCCTGAAGCAAACAAGAACATGGGATCAGTTCTCAAGTGAGATATTTCAGTAGGTCTTACAATTTTGCCTTCAGTATTTAGAATTTGTTTTGGAATGAAACAAAGAATCAGAGGCTGACTGTACTTTGAGGAACACCTGTGTCTTGGCACAAAGATGGATGATGACACCACAGCCTTTAGTTAACTTCCCACGATTAATGGTTCACCAAAGAGACTTCAACAAGTGATTGAGGTGGAACACACATACAGGTGAGGAAAATCTTGTTCCTTTTTTGGGGGGGTGGGGCGGTTTATACTAGTTTATTTACAAAATTCTAATACATTGTTTCTCAGACCACATTCTTCTAATTTCCCTCACACCCTGCCCCATCAAATTATACAACCACATGGTTAATCCCCCCCCCCATCCTCTTCCTTCTGCTTCCACTCTCCACCCTCTCCCCTCCCTCCGATCCTCATACTTATTCTACAATAAAGGTTTTATACTTGTCCTTGTGGGACTGAGTTCACTCAGCATAATACTTTGCAGTCCCTCCCAAGTTAGGTAATAATTTATAAAATCATTGTTCCTGCGTGCTGTGTAGTATTCCATTGTGTGACTGTACTGTACTTTCTCAATCCATTCCACTGTGGTTGGACATCTGGGCTGTTTCCATGTTCTTGTGAGGGTGAATAATGCCGCTACGAACACTGGTGTACAAGTCTCCATTTGTGCCTCGATTCTCATTTTCTCAGGGTATATTACAAGCAGTGGAATAGCTAGTTATATCAAATTTCTATGTTCAGCTTTTTGAGAAAGCACCAAACTACCTTCCAGAATGATTGTAGAAAATCTTGTATTTTTATACTTAAAAAGCACAGTTCTAATCCTATTCTTCTCCCAAAACCTTAGATCAGAGTTTATAACAGTGGTGCAATGCAGTATTTGTTCTTTTGTGATTAAGATATTTCATTGAGGATAACATCCCATATTTGCACTGGAATAGCTGAAGGGAAGAACTGTTTAAAAAGAATATATGATTAGGCATTTTATGTACAAGAATAGCGCAGAATAAGACATTCATTGCAACGAGGACTGGGGGGAGTAGAGAGAGGGAGGTAATTGTGGAACAATTAATGGATATTTAAAAAATAAAAAAAGTGACTTGGGGTGGGAGGAATTGTATACCAGTGAAGGAATTTTTCTTTTACTTTTCAAAGGGAAGAGCAAACTGGGGGGGGAAGGGGTGAGCAGGGAGAAAAATGCAACAATGAATGAATGGAAATCCCAAATTTCTGTAAATGTTCAATAAAATTAATAAAATATAAAATAAACTTAAAAAGTGAATGGGGGATGGAGGGAGAAGGGGGTAAAATGTGCAAAATGAATGAATTAAAATCTAACTTTTCTGTAAACTTTTGTTAAAATCACAATTAAAATTAAAAACTTTAAAACCAGTTCTATGAAGAAGCAACCATTTAAATATCTGATGTTATACATTTTAAGTTTTTATAACTTCCTGCTTCAGGAGTTCTGATTTAGAAGTATTTAATAAATTCAAAATCAAATATGTGTTTCATACAATATATGTAACTTTAGAAACCTTCACTGAAATAATAAAAATTTCTATCTAGTTTCCAGTGATCTTAGGCAAATTGTAATTTGCTCAGCTGCTACTTCCAGTTAAGTCTTGTGTTAGAAAATCTTAAGAGGTATGTGAGAATAGCAAAAAAGTTAACTTTATGGTTTAAATATCCATAACTAAAAAGAACAGGCTTGGTGTGGAAAAAGAATAATTTCAAGTTTTACTACCACAATCCACTTTATCTAAACTCTTGTGTACAAACTAAAAAAGCCTCAAACTCATTGCCCTGGAGTTGGGACCAACGCAGAACTGACTTTCCAGTGGGTTTCCCAGGATGCAAAGGTCACCTTTACTATCTAGTCTTAATGTTGCCATTTTTTACTGAGTTAAAAAAAATTAGATAAAAATATTAGCACCTGAAGTCAGCATATTAATTTCTTTAAATGGCACTTATGCACAAAAAGAACACTAGGAAACTAGATCTTACCAAGCACAGTTGCTCTCCAAGTATTACACACAAGAAAAGCAATAGTTTAGACACTTTGGGAAGCTCAAATTTCTTTGTTTTCATGTTTGTGTTATTAAACAACCTGAAGTAAATATATTATTAAAACAAAGAAAAAAATTAAGACAAAAAAAGAATCAGGACCACCTAGAGGGCTGAGATGGCACAAGACGACCACCTCATCTCTGTGTTCTCCAGTGTCACCACAGAACAAAGAAATCTCTGCACTTCACCTCCATGTTGCTCCATCCTCAGGAGCAAAACAAACATATCTCCACACTTCACCTCCATGTTTCCATCACCAGGAGCAGAACACATCTCTGCTCAGAACCACTGCACTTGGGAATAATCATTTGCATGTGATTTCTAACTGCTCTCCTATGTATCCTAAGTGACATTATCTAAGTGACATTTTTCTTCCCATTTGGCAACAGTAATCTACACTGGAGGAGCAGTGGAAGCCCCCATTCATTGTTGGCCACTTCCTCAATGCACCTGGTCTTTTTTATTTAACTAGAGAAATCCAGCTGAAAATTTACACAGTTCAGGAATATAGTGGGGGAAAAATTACTTTATCAAAGCCCTTAGGATTATAAAACTGCAAATTAACTGCTGAAAATAATTAACTATTTAAATGATCCTGGAAAAAGTTAGCTAGCTAGTTTTTATAAAAGCATCTTCCAAGGTTCTATAAAGACTGAACATCTGAGTCCCCACACGAATTTAAAAAACTCTTCTCACTATAGTATATCCAAACCAATTTTCTAACACCTTTCTTCCCCTTAGAAGGCCTGGTGTTTTACAGGTGTGCCCTTTACATGGGTCAAGGTATCTAACCTGTTAGGGTACTAGGAAAGTTTTTCCATTATCTCTTTAAAGAAGACACACTGTGAGAAAGGATGTTTTGACTCAAAGGGTGAGGTGAAATACCAGAATGTAACCACAGACTCGCTGGAGAATGAGCATAATTTAAAAGGAAAGTATGCACTTTAATCATTGTTTTGAGCTTAGTTTGTTAGCTCCTCTTTCTCCTTTCGATCTGCCATTTGTCTGAGAAGCATCTTGTGATAGCAGCTGTGCTAAGGATGCGAGGGGAACCGACGGAAACCTAACCAACCTGCAGGCCGGCTGCGCCGCTGCTCAGACCACGGAAGTGGTGCTCTCAGGGTTGACGCGCAGCAGCCTGGACACGTGCCTCAGGTCCTGCAACTGCTTGGCTGGCTTCCCCACACCCTCCTCAAACCGCTTCTCCACCACAGGGAGCACGGTCTCGTAGAGAAAAGTGGCGTTGTGTCTGATGAAGGCCTTCTTCTCAGGGTCCTGCTCGCAGCGCAGGCTGTAGTCCACGTGCTGGACGGCCACTAGGATGATCTCCAGCAGGCTCTCGAGCAGGACCATGTGCAGCTCAGGGAAATACAGCTTGAGCGCCTCGTCCAGGAAACCCATGGTCTGCTTGGTGAAGGCAACCACGGTATAGCTCAGGTTCACCCAGCAGTCGTCCCCTGTGTACTGCTCGAAGCTGCCCACCCCGCAGGCCCGCATCTCCTCGCGGAGCCGGCTCAGCGCCTCGGGCGTCATCAGGTTCATGCGCCGCCACATCTCCTCCGAGTTGCGGTGCTTGGTGGCCTCTATGATGATATCCTTGTAGCTGTGCAGGGCGCCTTGGATGTCTTTGACCAGCAGCGCCTGGATGACGAAGGTAAGGTCCATCCCGATGTCGCCCAGCTGCCGGCAGTGCTCCTGGGCCACCTTGACGCACTCGGCGGCTGTGGACAGGCTCTCCTTGCTGCGGAACACCTGCTTGCTGAAGGCGTCCACGAACACGCCCATGGCTGCGCGGGCCCAGACCATGAAGGCCGAGTAGCAGCCGCTGTCGGTGCCGGCGAAGTCGGTCTCGAACTCGCGCGCCGTCTCCAGCAGGCTGGTGAAGAAGACGTGGCACAGTTTGTGGATGTAGAGCAGCGTAGCGCCCTCGATGCGCAGCTGCCTGATTGCCGTCTGCACCGCGGCTGCCCGGTTACGCAGGAACAGCTCGCAAGCCTTGGTGCCCTGGCCCAGTCGGATCAGCTGGGACACCGCGCGGCGAGTGGCCTTGGGGCCGCCCCGCAGAGAGCGGTCGGGGGACAGCTCGAAGACGAGCACGTCGGTCAGCTGGCGCACGCGTTCGTCCACCTTGGCCCTCAGCTCCTTCACCGGCTGGGGGCGCGCCTTGTGCTGCAGGTAGAGGTCCAGTTTGTCCAACAGATCCACGGCACCCTCGAAGTCCCTCTGCGCGATGCACACGTCCAGGTCCTCAGGCAACTCCTGGATCCACTCTGGAGACAAATCCACTTTCTCCTCCTCCGCCTCGGGCGCAGCTGGTTCCTCCTCTTCCTCATCCTCGAAGGGATTGGCGGCCTTGGCCGGCGCGGGGGGCGGTGCCCGAGGGGCCGCGGCCTCCTCCTGCTCCCGCCGCCGCTTCTCGCTCAGCGCCCTCTTTGTGTCCTCCAGCACCTCTAGCCACTCCCGCTTGATCTTGGCATTCTCTGCCTGGAAGATGCGGCTCTCAGGGAACATGAGCAGCTTGAACATGTCCTTCATGGGCGGGTTGTCTTTGACGTTGACCACGGCCAGGCCGTCCAGTGGGTACAGGGCGTTGTAGCGGTACATGCCCCGGCGCTGCGGCAGCCAAGTGGCCACTAGCAGGCAGTCATTCATGAGGAAGCCGTGCACGCGCTGCAGCTGCGCCATGTGATCCGCCTCGTACTCAACGAGGTCCCCGTTGTACACCAGGTACTGGCCCGGCGTCTCCAAAAGGTGCCGGCAGCCCTCCACCTTCTCCAGCAGCGTGGTCAGCGTGCGCTGCTTGCCCTCTTCGCCTGCACCTGCACCCGCGCCCTCGCGCCCCCCAGCGCCCGGCAGAAGACCAGCCTGCGCGCGCAGCGCATCCCGGGCCCCCGGGCCGGACTCGTCGCCGGCGGAGGCCACGGGCCCGGCGGCCGGCAGCAGGGCCAGCGGGATGCTCTCCAGGCTGCTCTTCTGCTCGGTGAGCAGGTGGCTCACCTGGTACATCTCGCTCTCCAGGTAGGAGATCTCGCGCGCCGTCTCGATAAACTGCCTGTAGTTCAGGTACACGTTGCGCTTGAGGTTCTGCGCCGTCTCCTCCGCCAGCGCCTGGATGCGCTGCCGGTGCTCCTGGAGGTCGCGGTCGCCATCGGACTGCTGTGAGAGCTGCTTCACGTACAGCTGCGCCTCGAAGCCAGGTGACTCTAGCTGCCTCCGCAGACGGCTCGCCCCGCTGTCCGACATTTCCGTCCACCGTGAGCGGCGGCTGTCACTGTCGCCGCCAGCACCCACCTCCAGACTGAGGAAGCGGGACTGAGCGGTGGATAGTGCGCCTGCGTGCGGACCCGAGTGACGCCTGTGCAACGCAGTACGTCTGCGTGACAGCACGCTGCACTTGATGCGCATGCGCTTTGGTAGCTTTCGCGGAAGTGCGCGAGGGCGGAGGCCGACGCACAGTTTGTGCGTAGAGTCGCGCGGTGACGTTATGGTTTGAAGTCGCGGGCGGAGTCTGAGGGCGGCGTCGGCTTCGAGGGTTGAGGTCTTACCTTCTCTGCCGCCCCAGCCCCTGCATCTCGATCCCGGCATTTTGCGCGCGCGACGCCAGGTCTCGCTTGGGGGCCTGTTTTCAGCGTCTCAGAAACCGGGGTTGCCCGCTAGGAACGGGGCCGGCAGCGAGTGGCCGGGCTGTAGCCATGGACGCCGACCTGATGTTGGCACTACAGCTGCAGGAGGAGTGGGACCTGCAGGCCGCGCGGCGAGAGCGCGCCCAGGAGCCGCTGTCGCTGGTGGACGCATCCTGGGAGCTGGTGGACCCCACGCCGGACCTACAGGCCCTATTCTTACAGTTCAACGACCGCTTCTTCTGGGGCCGGCTGGAGGCAGTGGAGGTCAAGTGGAGCATGCGCATGACCCTGTGAGTGGCGGGGTACCCCGCCCCCGTCGGACGAACGAGCCTTTCGTTCCTCAGGCTGGTTCTATAGTGGGGAGCGCGCGGCTTTGCTGGGGGTGCAGCGGCGGGAACTCCCAACGGCCATCGGAGGTCACCACCGATGACCGTGCGCTCCTGGTCTAGGAAAGCCGCCCTGGCGGCCGCTTAGAGCACATTTTTCAGTTTCAGTGTTTTGGGCACTCAGGAAGAAGGAGTACTAGAGTTTGCCTCTGAGAAAAACTACCGAAAAAACGATTTGCTGGTCGTTAAGATGCCACCGCTTAGTATGTTAGGATTTGGTGTCACTCCTTGCTGTTTGCGTTTGCACCCCAGACACACCATGCACCCCAGTGCCTGGGAAGCCCAGATTCCTGTATTCACTTCTGACGATGATTGGGAAAGAATTCCATTTCTACACCTCTACGTGTGTGAAATCCACTTTTGAAATGATAATCTCCTCCCAAACATGGAGTCAGCAAGGATAGGATACAACTGGAGTTGCTTGGTTGCAACAATTAATCTATAACAGCCTGCAGAAGGAAGAGGAGGTACATTGTGTTCAAGTTCAGTCTCCTTTGGAGAAGCTGTCTTTTATCACGGAGATGTGCTGCGGAGCCTGGGTCTGCCCATTACCACTACAGATGAATTGTAGGTCCCAGGGAAGGGGCCCCTGCTTGCCTGTGTGAGCAGGAAGGCATGAACCTCTTAACTAAGGGTGTACCTTCAGGAAAACCACCTGCCAACATTCTTTTGGAGTGAACTGCCTCAAAGCGTCTGAGTGTTTGCTGATTCCTCTGTGCTGTACCTGGTCAATACCACCTCTTTTTTTTTTTTTTTTTTGTGGTGGCTGTTTTACAGGTGTGCTGGAATATGCAGCTATGAAGGGAGAGGTGGGATGTGTTCCATCCGACTCAGTGAACCGCTTTTAAAGTTGAGACCGAGAAAGGATCTTGTAGAGGTATGCTTTGTACAAACCTCATTTTAAGCGATTTTACCATTGGTTTAGATTTCTATTAATTAGACTGTATGCTTTTTTTCTAAACCACGATGTTCTGTACAGTTTTAACTGCGAGGCAGTTAAAAGTAGAAGCAGTGCCTAATTTTGGTTCCAAGACTCCCATGCAAATGTTGATTCCCTTCTCTCTCACTTCCTCTTGTCCTCCAGGGCTCCTGACTGAGCTGAGAGCAGTTTGAGAGCACCTTTCAGACCTGGAATTTATGGCATTTTTAGAACCAGGAGTAGTTGTTTTATTGCCGGATATAGAATCAAAACCAAACCCCATTAGGTTGTAGTTGATTTCAATCCAGAGTGAACCTCCTTTGGGAGGGTTCTACTTATATATATATGCCAGCGCATAGAGTAGTAGACTGCTTTGGAATTTGAACCCCAGTGCAACATCTAACTTACTACCTCGATAGTGCTCCTTAGATGAAAGATAATGAGAAATAGAAGTTTGTTTGCTCAGTGTTGATAAAATATTAATAAAAGCTAAAATGTCCAGTATGCCATTGTACCAATGGTGGCAGTGTACCATTTTCAAGGTGTGTTTATTGAGCCGAAAAGAAAGGACCTAAATTCTTTCCTCCTTTTACAGTCTAAGAAATGATGGGTTTTGATTTAAGTTGTTTTCAGAATAGTTACTTATTATAACTTTAGTTTGTTGAGAAACTGGGAATGTAAATAGTATTTGTGATGTGAGTCTTGTATGTAGCAGTTGTTTGAAAAATTAGGTTTGAGATAGTTGATAATTTTAAAAGGAGTATTTTCTTAATTACAAGTGAAAATGTTTGGCTCTCTTATTTTCCTGTTCAGCATAATTTTTTCATTTATTTACATTTATTATTAATTTCAGTAAAAATTTACAGAGACTTTGGATTTCCATTCATTTATTGTTGCCCTTTTCTCCCGTCCCAACCCTTCCCCCTAGTACTCTACCCTCTTGGAACAAGTAAAAGAAAAATTCTTTCATTGTTTTACAAACCCTCCCCCAGGTCCACTCCACCATGTAGCCTTTGCTCTAGACTCCTGTCATGACAAAAGTACCTAATCATGACAAAAATACCTAATGCATATCCCTTTTAAACAGTTTTCTCCCTCATCTGTTTCAGTGCAGTATATATTATTGAACCCATCTTTCTCAGTCTCCGCCAACCCAAGGTCAGTCCTGTTTTACAACAGTGGCACCATGCAGTATTTGTCCTTTTGTGACTGAGATACTTAACTCAGCATCCTCCAGAGTCACCCATTTTGAATAATATTGCATGAGTTCCTTGTTTTTCAATGCAGCATAGTATTCTGTTGTGTGAATATACTACAGCTTCTCTATCCATTTGTTTGTTGATGGACACTTGTGTTTTTTCCAACCCTTTGCTATTGTAAACAAAGCCGCAATAAACATGGGTACACATATATCTTCTTGGATGTCAGTTATGGTCTTTTTGGGGTATAGTCCCAGTAGTGGAATTGCTGGGTCAAATGGTATCTCTATTTGCAACTCTTTGAGAAAGCGCCATACCGCCTTCCACAGTGGTTTCACTATTTTACACTCCCACCAACAGTGAATAAGGGTTCCAGTTTCTCCACAACCTCCCCAGCATTTGTTGCTTGCTGTTCTGTTAAATTTTGCTATTCTGACTGGGGTGAGATAGTATCTCATAGTTGTTTTAATTTACATCTCTCTTAGAGCTAGGGATTTTGAACATTTCTTCATGTGCTTATTAGCCATCTGAATGTCTTCTTCAGTGAAGTTTCTGTTCATATCTTGTGCCCATTTTTTTTTATTCCAATTCTTTTTTTTTATTTTTTATTAATTTTTTTTGTGTGTGTACCATCAAATCAGATCTGACTGGTACAGGAGAAGATTGCCCCTCCTTCTCCAGCAGAGCATCTGGTGGATTCGGTGCCCATTTTTCTATTGGATTATTTACCTTTATCTTGTTGTGGTGCTCAAGTATTTTGTAAATTGTGGATATAAGTTCCTTATCTGATATGTCATTACCAAACACTTCCCAGTCTGTGGCTTCCCTTTTTACCCTGTCGGAGAAGTTTTTGGATGTGCATATGGATTTGATTCTTAGGAGATCCCATTCATCTACTTTATCTTCTCCAGGTTGTAGATTTTTCAGGATACTTGGAAGACTGTTTATGTTGTGGATTAGGACTTCTAGTGTTGTTCTTAGCATTTTCTTTAATGAAGTTTAGTCCTTGGTTTTAGCCCTAGGTTCAGCATAATTTTATAAAACTAAAATTCATTACTGTCAGCCTAGTTTTTCTGATAAAAATTACCTTAAAAAATACAGAAACAAAGGGAGCTCTGGTGGCCTAGTGGCCCAAATCTGCACTGCAATCCTGAAGGTTCAGTTTGAATTAGATGCTCCCCTAGAGAAGGAGGGGCTGTCTCCTCCTGTGCTAGTCAGATCCCATTCAACAGGACACAACAATTAAAAAATAAGATAAATATGGAAACACTAAATGATGGTGAAAGAATATATATAGCTTGGCTACATATATTGGCATATGAAATGTGCATGGAGAAGGGACTTGTTAGGAATTGTTCTGGCATACGTAAGGAAATGTGCAAAGACCCCCAGGAAAACATGTGTTGGGGCTTTGTGGAGGCCTATGTATCTGTAGGCGTGTGCAGGTGTGCCTGTGCATGTATTCAGATTTGTAATAAAAGCAAGTAAGGGACATGATTAGGAATGCTTTTCAGATGTAACCAAAACCCAAACACTTAGGGCACACCTATGTTTTAAGAACAAATTATAGACCACCAGTTGTTATTGCTCTTATTATTTTTGCTCATAAAGCTTCGAATCCTTCCTGTAGTACCCAGAGTAATTAGGAGTAGAGTTTTTCTTTATTTTAGGATTTACCCAATCCAAGATCACAGAACTAAAGAAATTTAGAGAACCTTGTTCCTACTCTGATCTCTCTGTTGTGTATTCTACCTTCACAGAGAACAGTTGTTATTGTATTGCGTGCCATCAAGGCCGTCCTTACTCACAGCTGACCCTCCAGCAGGTTTTACAGTAGCTGTAAATCTCACAGGAAGAAACTGCCTGTCTTTCTCCATTGAAGCAGCTGGTGGATTCAACTGCCTGCCTTTGGGTTGGCAGTGCAATTTCTTACTCATTAGGCCACTAGCACTCCTTCTGTTATTATTAATTTCTTATTGTTTGTTGCAAATATTTATGTCCACTCTTAACTCTCCTTCCCAGTTTCACAAAATTAATACACTCTTCCTGTACTCACTCACTGTGTTGGTTCTGACGCATTGTTGCCTAATAACATGGCAACATACTCAATAATCTTTTCATTAAAATGGTCCATTCTGTCTCCAAATCATTTTATAGCATTTTTTAAAAATTTCTTTTTATGCGTAGAATTCATTTATGTGACTCCACACTAGAACATTCAATCAGTTCCCTGTTGTAAACCACTGGTTCCACACGGTCCTTTGCCCTTATAAAAAGGCCAGAATGAAGACATGGACTTTGTGCAGCCAAGCACAGGATAGCTATCCTTGGGTCAGAGCGCTGATCTGTTTTTAACTTGGTTGCTGTTGTTACCAGTTCTCTTCCATATTGGTTGCACCATTTCTAACTAACAGTATGGGAATGTTTATTTCCCTGTAGAGTTACTGTCAAAATTGACGTATTTGAGTATAGTGTTATTGTGTATTTCTCTTTTTTTTACATTATATTGAACATTGCTCATGTTTTCTTGAGTCATTTCTTTTTCTTTGAACTGCCCATAACCATTATCCATTTAAAAGTTGAGTGGTTGGTAATTTTTGTTGATTTTGTGGTGTTTTTTATGTGCCCTCAAGTCAACTGCTACTCATAGAGACCCTGTGAACAACAGATCCATACCTTATCCTGCATCATTCTCTTTTTCTTCAGTTACTGTGTCAATCCATCTTGCTGAGGATCTTCATATCTTTCTCTGAACCTCCACCTTCCCCATCAGGATGCCTTTTTCTAATGACTGGCCCCTCCTGATAACATACCCAAAGTATCGGACATGAAGTTTCACTGTCTTTGCCTTTAAGGAACAGCCTGGTGGCACTTTGTCCAAGACAGACTTGTTTGTCCTTATGGCAGTTCATGGGATATTGTGTATTTTTCACCAACATTACAGTTCAAAAGCATTGAATTCCTCAATCATCTTTATTCATTGTCCAACTTTTAAACGCATAGAAAGCAATTGAAAATACTATGGCTTCAATCAGGCAACCTACAGTCTTTAAATTGACATCCTTACTCTTGAGAACATTGGGAGAGATCTCTGACAGCTGATTTTCCCAATGCAACACATCTTAATAATTTCTGTGGGCGTTGATTGCCGGTCCAAGTTAAGATGAAATAATTGACAACTTCAGTCTTGCTCTGTCTATGGGTATGTTGCCTACTGGCCCACTGGTTAGGATTTTTGTTTTCTTAATGTTGAGATGTAATCCATATTGAAGGCTTATTGTCTTTGATCTTCTACAGCAAGTGCTTCAGGTAGGTCCTTCAGCAAACAAGGTTGTGTCATCTGCATAAGGCAGGTTGTCGATGAGAACAAGGCATTCTTAATCTATGATATATTTGGGCTACTATATGTAATGTTTTGTGACAGTGTGCTATGTAATTTTTCTGAAAGGATAGCTCATGACCTGTGGACCAGAATGTATATTTACTGCTCCAGGTAGAGGAGGGGATAGGGGGCAGGATGGAACTACTCTGGGGAGAGGACGTGGTATAGGCTAGGGCCACTCTGGGTTGAGGATAAAGTGATGAGGGAGAAGATGGGGTGGTGGGAGAGAAGACAGGGTAGTGGAGGCTCAGTACAAGGGTTGTGGTGGGGAGGACAGGGTGTTGTTGGGGACGGAGAACAGGATGGAGCTGCTCTGTTTAAGGGGGCAGGATGGACCCACTGCAGGTAGAGGTGGGGGTGCTCCAGGGGAAGTCCCAGTATATTTCTTGGGCATGCTCATTGTCAGACCTGCCATAACAGAGTGTTTTTCTTTTTCAGACCCTCTTGCATGAGATGATACATGCTTATTTGTTTGTCACAAATAATGACAAAGACCGGGAAGGACATGGTCCAGAGTTCTGTAAACACATGCATCGCATCAATCGCCTGACTGGAGCCAATATCACAGTATGTACAGCCACAGTGATACATGTATGCTCAGTAACTCCTAGGCATACTGAAAAGTGAGAGGCTGAGTAGAAGTAAATATTAACTTAGAAGATTTCAGGCATTGGATTGGCACCCCAGAAGCTGCTTGTCTTGTGTTAGGACCACAGGGAACGGAGCAGAGCAGGAAACAGTCTGCTGGTTTGGTGTCCTTGTCTTCGTGTCCTTCAGTCTGTCTTACATCCCACTATTTCCTGTCAGTCTTCACCAGAGTCTTTGGTATACACTTGCTAGGAAAGTAAGAATAAACCATTTCTGCATGCTGTCCTGGAAAGCTGTGTCGTTTGGTGTTGAACAGAGTATGAGAGTCAAGCTCACTGGATTCAAATCCTGGCTCCCTGCACTGTTGTCTGTGTAACCACTTAACGCTTCTCTGCCTCATTTTACTACCATGTCATTTATAACATCTATTACTGCATCCTTGTGAGAAAGGAGAACACATTTGCAAAGTACTTTATCAAAGCTTACATTTTGATCATTGGGAATTGGTGGCCTAATGGGTCAGGGGCTGCGCTAATGAAGAGGCAGCGCTCTGATGATCAGCATTCAGCAGCAGATCTCCATGCAATTTACAGGGAGAGGCAGCTATGAGTCAATGCAACTTGATGGCAGTGACTTTTTTGAGAGCAACAATAAAAGAGTAGTTCTTGTCACTATTGCGTTAAGGTCATTTGTAAAATTATCTCCCTGTTCCTTATTACTCCACCCAGTCTCTTGCCATTGAACTTGCTGTCTCCAAGAACTTTTATGTCACAGCTGTGTCCCTTCCTCTTCATTTGGATCTCTTCAGCCTGTAGTTAACCTTTTGCATTATTTTATTCTACTTCCATGCCTCTGAAGACAGGTTGGCTCTTACCTACCTTTTTTTTTTTGCACTACAATGAATAACAAAGTGCCCTTAGAGGAGCTTAAGAAATCCTGAGTGGGACAATATTAATTCCCAAGTATTAACAGCATTCCCTATCTTTAAAAGGAGTAATGGCTGATATGATGCAACATGCTCACACTCATATTACCCACTGTATGCTTCCCTGCTGTAGTTTTAAGGTTTTTTGAGAGCTCCTTTGATGATTGGATTTAATTATTTGAACAGAAGTGGCTGGCATTGAAAATAGACTTAAAATGGGCTAGCAAGAGATTGAAGGAGTTGCTGGGATTTAAACAAAACAATTTATGGTTCCTCTTTAGAATTTACATGCTCCTTAGCAAACTGGTGGATCATAAGATATTCTTATACTTGGGTGTCCATGTGTTTTTATTCAGGAGGTCTCACAAGATGAGCACAGCTGGCTTTTACATGGGACACACAACTCTAGTGACTCCAGCGGGTCTGGGTTCATACTGCAGAGCAGCCCTCTTTTACTGACTGCATGGCCACTCTCATTCCCAGGCTTTAAATTTTACAGTAGAAGTTAGAGACACCAGATTCCCTGCCTTTTGTGTTAGTGAATTTGTAAGAGATGAATCCAAGCAATGTAGCAGAGTATTTCACTTCTGTCAAGAACCTTTGTTCTTGTGTGTGTCTGTGTGTCTGTGTCGGTGTCTGTCTCTCTCTCCCTCCCTCTACTCCCCCATCTAACACTTAACTACTTGCATGCTTGCTGAGTAATAGAGTTAATTTTTTTTCTTATGGTAGTAGTTAGTGTGGAATTTATCTGTTTAAAAAGCTTAAAATTCTTTTCCACAAAGGGAATTTACAGAATAGTTAAATAGCTGTTAAAGAAAGGTCTCCATAGGGTGGACCTCTGAGAAGGATAGGCAATCTCCTCCCATGTGAATCCTGTCTATGAAAACCTGCTGAAGGGTCTGCTATCAGTCGGTTCTGACTTGATGGTAAACAACAATACATAAAACATTATTTATCTTTATCTAATAATGTTCCTCCGACAGAAGAGAAAGTCAAGTCCTTCAGGAGGAGTTATTTTTAACTGATGCTCTGTTGTCCTCATCCTCCCAAACGGAGGAGCTTACCTCGCTTTGCATTCAGAAAAACTCTATTTTCTGCTTAGTTTCTGAGTAAGATGGTTAGATAAAGCGAGGGATCCTGCTCCAGGATTGAGCAGAGAATGACCTGGTCAGCAATGGCCAAGCATTACCTTCACCACAGGGATGCAAAGATGGGAATGCTGGACAACGCAGAGCTTTACAGTCTAGTACAGAAACACTGTAAGAGAGAACTGGTAACCTTTGCTTGTGCTGAAGACGTAAGCAAGGAGCTGTGAGAATGCAGAAGTGTGAGGTTCAGGCATTCGGAGGAGCTGATTCTGTTGTTCTGGGTGGAAAACACTCCTGTTTAGCAGCAGGAGTAATGCCTGTAGGGTGTTATAGGGCCTCATCTTTATCCATTTACCATTTTACCTTTTGAGGTATTTAGCTTTATTTAAGGTTTTGTTTTGATTTTTTTCCCTCCCTTCTGCTCTCCCATTTTCTATCTTTGCATAGTTCAGGAAGTGTTGAAAAACTGTTTCCCATTAACGTGAACTTTTGAAAAGACGTAGCTAAATATAGGCTTTTGTTTTTTCTTTTTGAGATTTTAATGAAAGTTTATAGAGAACTTGGATTTCCATTCATTCATTGTTGCGCATTTTCCTCCCTGCCCAGCCCCCCCTTTTGCTTTCTCTTTGAAAAAAAATTATTTCATTGCTGTACAATTCCCAACCCCCCACCCCAGTCCACTTTACTAATGCAGCTCTTTTTCTGTACAGATGTCATGCACATAATGTTTAATCATACATTCTTTTTAGACAGTTCTTTCCCTCATCTGTTTCAAGGCAATGTACATTATTTATAATCCCGTTCTTCTTAGATTCCTTCCAACCCCGATATCAGTCCTCTTTTATAATAGTGGCACTATGCAGTATTTGTCCTTTTATAATTGAGATATTTCACTCAGCATAATGTCCTCCAGGGTCACCAATTTGTATACTTCATGAGTTCCTTGTTTTTCAGTATTCCATTGTGTGAATATACCAGAGCTGCTCCATCCATTCGTTTAATGGGCACTTGGGTTGTTTCCATCTCTTTGCTATTGTGAACAGCGCCACAATAAACATGGGTGTGCATATATCTGCTTGGCTGGCAGGTATGGTTTCTTTAGGGTGTATTCCCAGTAGTGGAATTGCTGGGTCAAGTGGTATTTCTATTTCAAACTTTTTGAGAAAGCACCATACAGCCTTCCGTAGTGGTTGCACCATTTTACACTCCCACCAACAGTGAATAACGGTTCCAGTTTCTCCACAGCCTCGCCAGCATTTGCTGTTGTTTTGCAATTCTTACTGGGGTGAGGTGGTATCTCATAGTTGTTTTGATTTGCATCTCTCTTAGAGATAGGGATTTTGAACATTTCTTTATGTGTTTGTTCACCATCTGAATGTCTTTTTTGGTGAAGTGTCTGTCCATATACTGTGCCCATTTTGTGAATGGGTTGTTTATCTTGTGGTGTTAAATATAGTCTTTTCCAAAATGTATTTTCCAGAAAGTTCTTGTGAAGGCTATTTGTAATGGATGGAAGCTAGTTGTTGGCCTGCTGTCACTGCTGGTGTCCCCAGGTGTATCACATGATCCATAACGTGGGGAGGGAGGCTGGTTGTTGGCCTTCTCTTTCACTGTCGGTGTCCCTAGGTGTACCACACGTTCCATGACGAGGTAGATGAGTACCGCCGGCACTGGTGGCGCTGCAACGGCCCCTGCCAGTACCAGAAGCCCTTCTATGGCTATGTGAAGCGTGCCATCAACCGGGCTCCCTCTGCCCATGACTACTGGTGGGCTGAGCACCAGAGGACCTGCGGGGGCACCTATGTGAAGATAAAGGAGCCAGAGAACTACTCAAAAGGCAAAGGAAAGACCAGAGCAGGTGCTCACCCAGCGGCAGCAGAGAATAAAGGTACCTGTGGGAGTGTTCCCCCGGCTTGGCCTGGGTTCTGCAGTGCAGACAGTAAGCTTAAGGTTTGTAGACTTAAGAAAAAGCTCATGATCCCATGTCCGTCAATGGTAATAAAATGCACTAGGAACATACACTTTGTTCTGTATTCAGATGAGCAAAAAGTACAACAGGCTTCCCATTAATAGTCTGAGGAAAGCGTCTTCCCCTGTCTTGACTTTCACAGAGTCATGAGGAAACAGAAGGCAAAAAGATTGCCAAAATGCAAACAATAAATACATAACAATGCCCGGAATGAGCCTTCACTCCACCCCTTCCCATTCGTTGCATCCTAGCTAAGTAACTTCTGCTCTTGGGGGCTGTATTTTGTTGGAAGAAGAATGTGAAAGGTTATGCAGAGCTTCATCTTCAGGACTTCTTCCTTTCCTGTAACACTCAGAGCAGTGCCTTTCTGGGAGGGAACCGGGCGGGTTCGGGAGGCTGCTGGAATAGCAAGGAAACACTGCTGTCTAGGTCCCTCTCTGTTTAGAGTGCACATTGGAGACACTTCAGCTAAGTGGTGGGAAGTGATGAGACCACAGAATCTTGCCTTTTGTCCTAATCTTTGATAATTAACTTCTGAAGCTTTAGGGTATTCACACTATATGAACCAAGTTACACACTCGTTTTTCATACTGTCTTAAAACAATTTTTTTGTGGTTGTGTATATATTTTGAACTCTATCATGCTTGACCTAGATAAAAGGTTTTTTCTTGCCTCTCTTTGTACATACTAATTTTGAGCAAGTAAAATTCCTTTTTTTGCAGATAAACGGAGTCAAGATGAGAAGCAGCGGGTAATCCCTTTTACCGGAAAAGGGTATGTTCTGGGAGAAAGGAGCAGTGCACTTCCACCCAGGAAATCCATGTCCTCCAGCACCATTAATAAAGCGCAAGACCATTCAGCAAATGCATTAAGAGAAAATTCTAAAATTGAGGTGAAATTTGAACAAAGTGGCTCAAGTAAAAAACCTGTCATTTCCAGTGTTCTCACTAACAGTTCTCAAAATGTTCTAAGCAGCTACTTCCCACGAGTATCTGTTGCCAACCAGAAGGCTGTCAGAAGTGTGAATGGCTCCCCCACAAGTGACCTCCCCAAATACTGGATCCCCCCTGGTTCTCAGAGACAAGCAGTGTCTGTGAAGAGGCCCCTCGAGAGTTTTCTGCAGGCAGCGGAGCCAGCAGCTCTGACCAGGTCTCACGGTGTATCTGCATCTGGTGAGAAGCTCACAAGTAAGCGACCCAGACTGGAAGACAAGAGCGTGTTGGATCACTTTTTTATTAAGAAGCAGCGAGTGCACAGTGGTGGTCTTGAGCCCCAGTGTCGCCCACACCCTCCATCGTCAGCTCAGGGTCCCAGCAATCCACTCAGGCACAGCAGGAAGGTTGTCTGTCCTGTTTGTCAGGAAGAGGTTTTAGAGTCTCAAATTAATGAGCACTTGGACCGCTGCCTCGAAGGGGACATCATTGAAATCAAAAGCTGAAAACCAACATGGAAGAACTGGGGCTCACGAACCAGCATCTGGGACCTCAGGAATGCTGCTGTTCAGCCTTCAGGACCTTCTGATGCAAGATGAGTGGGGGCTTAGGGGCCAGCACACTTTTCTGACCCCATGTAAGGTGTGTGTGCGCATGTGAAGTGTCAGGTGGTGCTCTCTCCACTCCTGCCTTAGTGCATTTACAGCCTGGCCTTCTGGGTGCATTCACATACAAATTTTAGATGTTCATATTTTTTTCCCTTATACGCCAAATAATTTAAATCTGTTGATCTTATTTCTATCTCTCAACGTATTAATATAAAGGAATCTTGTTGGGTATTTAGGTTAAAGTGAATATTTTTGTTAATAAAATTCATTCCTAGACTAATGTTGATCTTCGGAGTATTAGGCATTCATTCTGACAAAGAACAGTCTAGGTAACAGATACTAGTTTTAAGAGTACTCAAGTTTAAGGTTTTTGTTCCAAAGTTTTAACAAGAAAAAGATTTTAATGTTTTTAGCAATTTTATTTCACTCCTGGAAAGATGGCATTACAATTTTAGAGTGAATAAGGCAAATTTCTGGATTCTATCTGCTAGCAAGTCTCTAAGCCAACTCTTAGATTGATTGCATTTAGCTGTTTTCTCAAAATTTTAGCATATTTGATGTTTAAAACGAAGTAGTAGTAACTGGTAAGTAACCGTTTTGTAGTTTATATGGCTGTAGAAAATGGGCTGAAGCAATTATTAAGTCTTTAAAAGTTATTATTTTTGTATTTTAAAAAAGGACTTCTTTTTAAAAATACTCATTTTTTACCAGTTTTCTGCCATAGAGGTACATTTTACCTCTAGCAGAGCTTCATGTGTTTCTTGTTTGGCTGTAACTTGGATGTGCTGTGAAGAGCACAGAGCTCACACGCGTTGTGCTGACCTGTCACACAGTGCTTACCACCCAGGGTACAGAATGTCCCTTAACATGAAGGCTTCTCACTGGTGCCTCTTCCCAGGCATTGCCCAGACCTTTTGGCACAGGGTGGCGTAGCCTGGTTTTGAGCTTCCTTGTTTACTAGTAAAAGTGTATTTTTATTGCTCTAAAGTATTTTTATGCATCTGCCTGAATGCATTCGTTCTATTATCAGTGGACACTAAAATAATTGCCATGACGATGAATGATGCTGCTAAAGACCACTCTTGGGCTGTTTGGTTGCTGTACACACTCATTTATGCTGGGGCTGTTTATGTTCAGTTACTGTGAATGAATGATAAGCGCTGCCTGTTTACAATCCCCCCAGGAAGGCCCAGCTATCCACATGTTTCTAACAGCACAATTATCAATCTTTTACTTGAAGTGTGTCAGGTTGGATGTTCCCAAGTTTTAGCATGTAAATATGAAATAAAACTATTTAATAAACTTGAAGGAAAATGTCTATTGTGTTGACTGTCTCCAGTTACACAGAGGAATCCTGTTCTCTATGCTAGCTGATATGCATGGAAACATTTCTAAGGACATAGTTGGCCAAATGATCCAGGATTCCAGAATACATAAGACAGCCTATGTCCCGAGATGGAGTCCTAATTGGGGACCAGGCTAACGCTGTTCACTGTTAGCATTTTGGTACCAGTTCCAACACCTTCCTGCAGGGCACTGTGGGGCTGGAGTGGGCTAGGGAGCACACCCGGCCACTGGGGGAAGTTTTCCTGAGGAGCTGCCAGGGAGGGAATGGTGGGAGGCCACTGCAAAGGAGTAACAGAAAAGGTGTGCCATCCGAGCCGAGCTTTATCAATAGGGACAGAAGCTGTGCACATAAGGATGTAGATTGTGGGGTGAAGTGGCCAAGAGAACAGAGCCATGCTGCACGTCCAGGTGGGGCATGCAGTGGTACACCGGGGAACACAGCACTTTGCCCTATATTAGTGATGTTTTCTTTTGATGTTGATTAAAATAGCTCAGCATTTCTCAGAAGTTACATTCTTAATGTGCCTTTCCAAAAAAATGCCATGTTGATGACTGACTTTCCTGCATAGCCACATCCCACAGGATCTGTATGGGCTCAACCTTTTTCCCCAGAGGGTTACAGAGGATCTAAGACATGCCAATCAGAGTGTGTGCAGTAACATCTTACTAAAATATGTGTCTGTTTCTGGAAAGTGATTGGTGTTGCTAGGCACATAATGGTACAAGTGGGTGTGTCCATATCTACAACCCATGACAAACATATTGACAGTCAAAACACCTGTTACTGGTTTATATACATACTGTGCTATGTTGCTGTGTACCTGTGTTACAGTCAGAGCTGTCTCCTAGCTGACCCTCCAGCAGGTTTGCAGAGGCTGTAAATCACATGGGCAGAGACTGCCCATCTTGATCTCTTTTGAGCAACTGATAGACTCAAACCCTGTACCTTTGGGTTAGCAGTGCAACTTCTAAGCCACCAGAGCTCACCTGAATACCTGAGGTTTAAATCAATCACACGTGATTAGGTGATTTCCCCGCCTGCACTGGGTCCAAGTGTAGAAGTGAAGATACCACTTCTATCACATGTCTGAGAGCAGTTGTATGCTGGCATTGTTCCTGGTTTGTGAACACAGGAATCTGGAGTCTACTACTTCAAGGATAATCCTGCAGATTCTAGTTCTGGTCCCAAATCTCTACCTGCCCTTCGCCGCCTGCTGCCATCACCAGCAGTGAGTTTGCTGCATTTGGAAGCCAGATCCATTTTATGGCCATTATTTTTAAGAAAAAATGGGGAGACAAGGCTGGAACACACGAGACAGACAATGCACAAAACTGGACATATGGCTGCCCCTGAACTGCATAAACCATTAGATAAACATTTTAAGTGGGGAACATATAGAGAAATTCTGTTCAGACGGTGACATGACACGTGTGGATCCTGCCCACGTTCTCATTACACTGCCTCACTCAGCAGCTCAGGTGTGCTACCTTTAGCACTTCAAAGTGCTGCTTGTCCCTGGTGGTCCCTAGGGACAAAGATGGGCAGTGAGATTTACAGCCTCAGAAATTATGAGGGTTGCTGTGCATAGACGTTGGCTTGGTGACGCTGTTTTTTCCTCCTCCTCTGATCCTCCCAGCTCTCTGACTGCCTGTGGGGCCTGTTGGCTCTGGTGGTGAAAGCAGCAGCCTGCCAGTTTTCGTACCCCCAGATCCTTTCAACAGCTGGGTTCCCACCAGCAGCCTCCTATTAGCAGCCAAGTCCTCAGCTGCTGCACCACCAGGACCCTTCTGAGCTGTGGTTGAGTGAAGGTCTCTAGACTCCCCAGGACAGGCAGAGAGTAACACACACATGAAAGATGGCTTTACAGCAAGCAGCAATGTGAACCTTTGTCTAAGCTCCCTTTCTAATAAGATCTCTGATTAGAACAAGATTCTGAGTGTCTGTGTCCACACAAATGATGACTGTTGCACATACAAGGCACCTACGACAGAAACACCCGAGCCCCTTTTTTGACACAGCAGCAGGTAGGAAAGATGCTCCACAGCCATGTGAGAGGACCAGCGAAGGGCCTGAGAAGAGGCCAAGAAGCCAAAGACGGCTGCTGTCAGGCCTATGCGCTGGGTGTTGTCTGTATCAGTCAGATACATTCTATTAGCATTCTCTCAACTGTCATTCATAGTGACAGCAAAGTCCTGGACCAGAACCAAGCCGCATAAGGAACCAGCTCCCTGTCCACGAGCAGCCTGTGAACAGTCAGGGACAGGATGGAAGAATACAAACAACTGCAAATAACAGCCATCATCTTTCCAAGAACGTTTTATACATCTTTTTAATTAGATTAGCTTTACAAGCAACCGGAGCACTCTTCCATAATGAAACACCACTTTTCAAATCACATAATTTGGAGCTGTCTATATGAATTCCAAGCTTCTTCACTGCTGCTGCTGAAAGTCTGTGTTTTACAGCTGGTTCGTGCTGAGTGAATACAGCATTCTGAAGCTTTCCTGTTAACCAGGATTTAACACATCTAGGCCACAGTTTAAGTCTTGTTTTAAAGAATTCCTGCTTGGGGACAGTTAACAGTCACGGTAACATGAAATAAATAGATTTAAAGTGGACATTAAAGAAACAGCTACCCTTGTTTTTCTGGCCCTTTCACAATGATCTCCAAGAAACAGAAAAACTTAAAGTACACAATTTAAAAACTATCTGGCAAGCTCAACCCACGGGTAGTAGCATCTGATATGGAGTACGCTGCAGAAGTACACAATCTGAGTAACGTGTAGTCAGTTAGAACCAACTCAGATGACCCAAGGATTTTCAGAGACTGCAAATTATGGGAGGAGACTGCCCTTTCTCCCTCAGAACTGGTGGATTCAAACCGCCTGCCCTTCAGTTGTTAGTGCAACTCCCTACCCACTAGTCCACCAGAGCGCGCTCTCAATAACAAGTTCCCGAAATAAAAGGCTATCGCTGCTCATCTTGAGGATAAAGCTGGCCTGTCATCAGCATGGTTTCTCCTCACCCTACTAATGGCAGCATCTGCAGCATGGCCGAGGGTGTGCCCTGCACCGCTGACCAGAGGCGCCAGCCCAGGCTGGCAGAGGCACTTCCTGTGGAGGTGTGGGTCTGGGGTCTGAAGGAAGCAGAGGGAGTGGGGACAGCCACCACTGATGGCCACTTTCTCCCACAAGTTCACAATGAAATGAGATCAGAACTGAAGATACCTCCCCCAGCCCCAGGTCCATGCCGTCAGTGTCACGGAAAAATCTTTTTTCATGTTTTACATGAATAATAGCAATCTTTTCATAAAAATTACTAAGCTTTCCATAGAAAAGGTCTCCAATTACAAACTATACAGATGGTAAAACTTAGAACTTGAAATATACAGAAATATTTCTGTACACATTATTTTGGCAAAGATCAGGGACAAGAATAGGAAACTGAAGAGGGCAAGGCCCGATATACTGTAATTCACATAAATAGGGGATGCCATCCTCGGACTTTGCTCAAGATAAGAGCTGGAGCAGAAACTGAAGTCTAAGACACCTATCCCCAAATTCTTAACTGAAATCTGCAGGCCTTGTGATTTGTAATATTCCCCCTGTTGTTTTGTGAAAAAGCAAGCTCTAAAACAAAATAATCTGATGCTTTTATGATTGTTGGGTTTGGTTTTTTAACTGAACACATGTCTGTGAGTGCTGACGAGGCAAGGCCCAACAGCAGGGCAAAGGGTCACTGGGGGCTTGGTCGGTGCACAAGCTCCCTTGTGACACTGCTGGGTACAAACAAGGCTGTATTCTGCAGAGCGTTAGAAAACAGCAGTGCAAGGTGAGAGTAAAACCAGCTGGAAGGGAAGCAAAGGGGCGAGCTGTGGGAGGAGGTGTGGGAAAGCGCGTCTGAAAGCCCTTGATCTGAGGACTCCATGCCATCTGGTGCCAGTCACTTTATTATTTTTTTTTTCCTTTAAAAATGTTTCACTTAAAAAGGAAAACTCTTCTTAACTGGATATTTTAAAAACCCAAACAAAGCATACACGAACTAAGTTACTGGTAGTAAATGGTGACTATTTTACTGTTACATTATTAACAATGTCAAAAGAAGCAGCAATCTTTAAGAGTTCTAATTAGTTTAATAAGATTACAAAACACTCTTGATTTTTCAGTTGGTGATTAAAGTGCTCCTTTTCTCACTTGTGTATAAAGAAAATTAATCGGTCACTGGCAGCAATCATTAAGAGGCCTATTAGGGCAAAACTTTAACAATATGATGAAGTTTACAAAAATAGATCAATGCTATTTTGGGGAATAATACTGCAATTTTTAAAATTCATTTTTGAAAATTGTACCTGATCATACAAAAATTACCCAAAATTCAAACTTGATTATATAAAAAAGGGAAGAGATGAAATGGATTGAGCTAGATGTCAGATCTGGCAAAATATAAGAATGAAAAATTATACACAGGGCACTTATTCCAGGTCCAGATGTAAATTCCATTTGCAGTCGACAGCTGACAAACTTCCCACACGCAGGCAGAGTTCTGGAGTGAAGCAGGACACAGCCTCAAATGCTTCAGTTTGATGCAACATAAAGGCGGCTTCTTTTTCCTCATTAAAACGCCATCTGGTTGTCTGGTATTCTTTATTCCATTTCTTTGTATTCACAAATCAACAAACAGCGTCAACAATTATTGTAGGTGAAGTAGGGTACTGCTGGATCAAAGGCTCTATAAAACGTATTTACTGATTGAATCAGAAGGTTTATTAAGTTCAACCCTCACACCTTTTTCACCTGAGGGAGAGAAAGGAAAAAAACACAAATCAGCAGCCTGCCTGCCACTTGATGCCAATGTTACAGGGATGTTAAACTGTATTTTAATTCTGCAAACATCTGACAATAGCCACATTTGCACATCCCAATACTACCAGCTTCGGTATTCTATTATGAATGTACTACTTTGAACCAGTAAGCATTCAAAGATAACAACTATTCTCTGTAAAAGAACAAAAGCTACTTTATCCTTTTTAAAGAGGTGGATTACTATGAAATTGTAAAGTGCTTAACACCATCAAATGCTCATTCTAGGGCATCAACCACAAATAAGAGTTTTAACAACTCACAGAAAATATTCCTTTTTCAGATTTTTTTGAAAAGGCTGGTGTGGGCCTATCAAAGGCTCATGGAAACACAGTTAACTAATGACGGAAAAGTGAGCACAGCGTTGGGGGCATCAGGGAGGATAAGGAGAGCCAAGCAAGTGTGTCACAGATGAGATCGTGGGGCCGGTTCAGGACCGAGGGAAGGAGGCTGGGACAGGCTCCGACTACATGCTTGTGAGCTCTCAGCACGTCAGCTGACCTGGTGTCCTCACACCAGCATTCAACATGGAGTCCTGAGACACTTGGTTTAGAGAATCTACATTCAAACAGCAAAGAAAACCAACACTGCCTTGTAATGGGTGAGCAAACCGAAGCCAGAAGGCAGGGACCAAGCGTGGGGCACCCTGCATGCCTGAAGACAGCAAGGATGGTCCAAGGGACTCTCTGATTGTATCTGAGTCATCTACTCTGACTTCTGTGTCACAAACATGGCTACTTTTTTGGTCAGTTCTGTTAACTGAGTGACAATACCCCAAGAGATGTCTCCATATAGACAGAAGAATTAAGAAACCTGATGAGAACAGAGAAGTCTTGGTGGCAGAGACCACGCCAGGCTCACAGGGAAGACCACGCGTCAGCGGATGACTGGACCCGAGGGAGGATTACCTGTGAGATACTTGACTTTCGCCCGCGCTCGCTCATCCGCATCAAAATACCAGACGGTTATTGCGTACCTACAAAGACAATGGAAGATACAGTGAGGGTGATCACGCCTGAGGAAGCCCGTAGTGGGCTGCTTCGCACCAGACCATAGCAAGCCACAATCACATCAAAGGGTACTGAGGAAAAATTCACTCACCAGGAACCTCAACGCTCAAGAGTGTGGCAGCAAACCACGAGTGGCTCATGTCCCATCAGCCTAATTGAACTTTCCTTCTTTGGCTGTCTCTCTTGGCAAGCCCACAGCAGATCAAAACCAGACAGTACCACAGTAGGAGAAAAAGCTCCTCTGGTGGCTTAGTGGGCAAGGAATTGCACTGCCAACCCTAAGACAAGTGGTTCAATCCCACCAGCTGCTCCAAGGGAGAAAATCCTGTGTGATTTACCACCTCTGACACCCACCGGAGGGTCAGCCGTGAGTCAGTTCCAACGTGACAGATTAGAACAACTCTATTTTCAAAATGCTTCAGGTATACTCTCGAAATGAGAATACTGGCAGTGATTACAGGGAGGAAGTGAGAATTTGGCTACTGTAATTAATGTATGTATATAAGTAATAATTAGGAAGTTCTGGTAGCCTGGAGTTAGGATGTGCTGACCACCACAAGGCAGGGTTTGATTCCGCCAGTAGCTCCGAAGAAGGGCAGGAGACCTCTTGTGGTGTATCCTCTGAAAGCCTGCTGGAGGGCCAGCGAGGAGGGAGGGCCAGCGAGGAGGGAGGGCCAGCGAGGAGTCGCTTCCAACTACACGGTACAAAACCATGTCATCATCATCTCAGATGACAGGCGTTTCTCTTCTCCACCATGACCTCTAGCTCTCTGTCCACAACTGCCCAGCAAGCTACACACCATGTGAGCTAAGGATCAAGGCAACCGCGGCTCAGAAACCAGAATGGCGGGAGGAGCAAAGTGAGCGCAGTGGCTCGGAAGCACAGCCCCAGCCTCTATTTCACACAGTTCCTCCTCCGCAAAGTCACCCTCCCTTCCCACTGTCCCTAACCTCACTGGATTCCCCAAGGCCAGACGCCAAGAATTCACTATATGGTGTTCAAACTCTTACATATGCTAGTAAAAGATTTTTAACACTAGTGGTTTTATACCAATATATATTTTCCTGACAATGCTTTGATAGTATTAATATTTTCATTGGATCATGGTAAATAGTAAAAACAAAAAATTAAGTAATACAGCTTAGCAATATTAACCTCTGGAAACAAGTGTAACGAAATCAAGCACTGACCATCCCTAATGTGAAGGAGTATTTTCCAGCATAGGCTCTACACGCAGCCATTCTTCCTTGAAGTCCTTTCTCTCTGCTCTTCCCTCCTTGTCACTCCTAATGGTTTTATTTTTGTGCTCTGTATCAATTCCTCCAGTGTCTCTAAGAGCTGGGCCTCACCTCCTCTATGCAACCTTTCTATTTCCCAAGTGAAAGGCTCTCATCAAATTAAAATGACAGATGATACAAAGTGCAGAGAGACAGGGACAGACCAGGAGAAACAGAGTGAGAATAGAGGGAGAGACAGAAGCAGAGAGAGAGAAGAAAGACCGAGAAAGAGTGTTCATGTCCGATTCTGAGCATAATGAGGCACAGTTGTACAAAGACAGGCACTAGACCTTAGCACAAAATATGAATAAATCTTTAAAAATACCTCAATTATCTGATGAAGAAACAAAAATGTCCAGATTTCTCTTACTATTTCCTCCTGTCCTATGATGATTTTACAATTTTTTCTTTTTAATTTTTTTTATTTGAAAGTTTACATGTCACACTGGTCCCTCAATCATTCATACACGTTTTCCTTTATGATATTAATCACAATTAATCAATGTAATTTAAAAACTCTGATCAACCTCTTATTGGACATTGAATTTTCCCCCCCTTCACTCAACTTACCTACTTTTACTCCCCTCTCCCTCCCTTCCCATTTCTGGTAACCAAGAATGATTTTGTGTGTTAACCTTATCTTAGCTCTTTATAATCCTTTCTTATACTGTAGTTGTCTCTCTGTGACTGACTCATGTACTATTTTTTTTTCTTAAAAGGAACACTACCTTGTAGCATATGCTGGTTGTACTTCATGAGGGTTGCGACGGTCAGACCAGAAAAACAACAGTCTATCAAATTTGGGTTCAATGTCAGCAAACTGGGCTTTGCCTTCTGGAAAAATTCGCAGTATGCCTCCACTTACCTAGGACAAGAGGCAACAATGTAATGATGAGCAACAGAGGGGGCTACGTAAAGATCAATCCAGTGATTGGATTAGTCACAATTACATGTCACTTAACAAGATAGGAAGGTGAGCTGAGATTCTAAAGTACATATATCAAAACATTTTTTCTTTTAATTATTTTTTGTAAATACTTGATGAGACAAATCAATGTTCTGTGAACCAAGGTTATGAAGTGATGCTTGAAGGTTTTAAAGACCAGCATACACATATCCTTTCACGAGAAGAGGATGGGCAGGATCCGGAGGTGACCCTCCACTGAGCATCCCAGGTTGCAGTCTTTAAGGGGGAAGAACACCCCGTCTCCTCCTGGGACACAGCCAGGGGATCTTTCCATTAGCAGCCCGAGACAGGCTATGCAATATCACCGGAGCGCTTCCAAAATCACAATGAACTTTAACGTTTAATCAAAACTTCAAGAACGCTGGAGGCCTAGCGGGGAAGGAGTGCGCTGTTAACCAAAGTTGGTGCCTCACTGGTGGTGTGAATCCACCGGCTCCGTGGGAGGAAGTAGGCAATCTCCTCCTGTGCGGTTTCCAGCTTCAAAAACCTCTGGGTCGGTTCCAACTCCACGATAGTAAGGGAGAGAATAGTCTAAAAGTATTATATTTTAGGGCATTATTTTTATCATAGGAGTATGCAATGAGGGTTGCAGAGTGGATTCTATTTGGGGGTAGGGGGTGGGGTTTGGGGAGGGGCGGGGGGGGGATTGTGTACCAATGAGGGAGTTTTGCTTTTGCTTTTCAAGGAGAGGAGCAAACGGGGGGGGTTTGTGCAGGGAGAAGGGTGCAACAATGAATGAATGTGAATGAATGGAATCCCAAAATCTCTGTAGATGTTCACTGAAATGAAAAATAAAAAAAGAGAGAGAAATGGAGGGAGGGAAGTGACCCTGCGCCTAGAGTCCTAGGGATTCATCCTCAGGTACAGTTAAACACAAGTGACTGAAGCATGCATGCTGCCATCCGGTTCCAGAGTCGCTCAGAATGATTTCCTTGTGGCCAGGAAGACCTGGACTGTGACCACACTCCTTCTCCCCGTGCACCCTTGCCTTTCACCGTCTGACTGCTGTGTGGCTGAAATCTTTTAGGAAGCAGTGGTTTACAGGTGTATCCCCTGACCTCCCATCCTAACAAGTAACACGATCATGAAAATGATTTGTCTTCTGACCTGGGGCCTAATCCCCAAGGGGCTCTCGGCTTGAGAAAAGCTATTTCCAGCTCTGCTCCAGCACCAGCACAATCGACAGTCCTTAGGATGCGTTAACAGACATTTCCAGGTCCACAAATAAGCACTGGCCTGTTTTCTGCCCAAGTATTTTTTTTTCTATAATTATATTTTATTAATTTTCATAAACATTTACAGAGATTTTGGGCTTCCACTCATTCATTGTTGCACTATTCTCTCTACCCTCCTCCCAGTTTGTTCTTGTCCAAATGCCACAGTGCTTGTCAAAGCCAGTTCTGATTAATCTTCTTTTCTGCCCAAGTATTAATTTAAACCTTTATGTTAATGACACCGGCTGGATCACATAAAAATGAAAGACAAGCCTGAGAAAAGCCCAACATGATTCAGAAGTTAAGATCTGATGATATGTATTTATGCCTTCTAGCCCTAAAACCATTTAAAAATTCATTTTAAAGCTTTAATAAGTCACACTTGGAGTCAAGGTGTAATTCCAATTTTACTTCTCTGCTTCAACTTTGAAAGCTGTAACAGAAAAGCCACGTTCTGGCATGTGTGTGTGGGTTTTTTTATCATTCCTCAAATTTACTTTGTCGTAAAACTTAACCTTCTGTTTCAATGTGGACTATAAAAGAGGAAATCTTTAAGTCAGGATGGTAGGGCAAGATTACCCAGCATGTGTGCACAACCTTGACTTCAAATACCTTTAAGGCAGAATGAAGCATTTACACACCTAAATCTTCGATGTTCCCCATATGAATGAGTATGGAGAAGATATTTTAAAGGTGCTGATTTTCAATATTCGCCCTGGTTACACAGGCTTGTTCACAATGTATAAAAATGCACTGATATACCATATTCATGCTTCTACATGACTGTTATACTTCAGTATATTTTTTTAAAAATTGGCAATTACATCAAAACCAGTCTGTACCAACTCCAGTGAGGGATATACCTTTAAAAATTATCTACATTTATATAAAATACAAGCTATTATTAAGGAAAAAATGATAAATAAACAATAAGGTTTAAATACACTGTACTTTTCAACTAGTTTTACATAACTGAGTATTAAATACTTAAGTTTTCCTTCATTTTCTTTTTTTTTTAAAAAAAAATATGAAATGCTTCACGAATTTGCATGCCATCCTTGCGCAGGAGCCCTGCTAATCTTCTCTGTATCGTTCCAATTTTAGGATATGTGCTGCCGGAGCGAGCAGTCCTTAATTTTCTTTAATATTCAATCAAATAATTAACCATGCCTCAAACGTCATCTCTATGATAATATGAAGAATATGGGTGTATGAAGGAAATAATTAAAGAATATTATGTGCATGTGCTATTTCTCATAAGCTCAGAATACTACAAGTCAATTTTGGTTTCATAGAAATAATAAAATAAAGATATTTTAATAAAGGCTATTTTCTGTAAAAGTTAACTTTTGCACAAATGTTTCAATATCTGAAAAGGTGTGAATCCCATTTTTGAGACACAGAATTGCCGGTTTCCCTTTACAAAGGATTTGCTCTTAATTCCCTAAAGCTGAAACATACCTAAGAGCGAATTTTTTAACTCTCCCGTGGGCTAAGAACAATCCCACCTATGAGGAATACAAATTTTAATACCTGTGAGTCAAGTACCTGTGAAAAAAATCCCAAACTCCTACTAGATATACCCAAAAACCTGTGAGGAAAAAACCCCCAAAAACCAAAATCCCAACTGAAAGCCTCAGATAAGCTGCATACCTTGGCATCCCAGTCTTTATTTAGATAATATATACATGTCACACATCTTCCATCTCCGTTTGGATTATCAACATGGCGCACATAACCCGTTCCATTGCCAGGATAACAAGCCACCATGGCCTAGAAAACAAGGGTAGAAAATAGAGTCCATGTGTGAATGAAAAAGGAAAACCGCACTATAGCAGACCTGACTTTGGCTAATCCCACCTGCCTCAAATCCTTCCCTCTAATAAGACTAAAATGCTGTGGACAGGAAGAGACAAAGATGCTCTGTGAGGTGTTGACGAGAACACATGGTGTGGGGTCACAAGGAAGGACCCCAAGGATCAGGGGGTCTGGTGCCCCCTGTCCTGATGTGATTCCACAATAAGCAAGACTCAGCAGGTGCTTGTGCCTCCCCTTAGGGGGCGTCTATCCTCCCAGAACTCACCTGAGAACACATGGATGTTGGATCTGACAGATGAACTGGCCTGGTCAAAGCTCCACCTCAACTGTCTCTCAACCCCACCAGTACAGACAGACTCATGCCAGAGGCAAGGCCTGACAGTAATCACTTAATGGCAGCTTTTTTTTAAAAGGCTAAATAAAGAATAGCTTCAAGTCACGTGGGCTCCGATAAGAACAGGATTTAGGGCCCCTAGTGGCACAGCGGTCAAGAGGTCACCTGCCCACAGAACTGCTGTAAGTTCTAACCCACCAGCTGCTCAGTGGGAGAAAGATGGTCTACTATGTAAAGATCTCTAGCTGTGAAGACCCTAAGGGGGTTCCTCTCTGTCCTGCAGGCCCACTGTGGCTCAGGCCTGATGCGACTGTTCAGACCACTGCCTGGTCACTAACCTGACCGCATTCCAACTCCAGGGAAGGGGATTTTAGAATGCAGGTGGAGGTTGGCCTTGATGGGGGAAGAGCTGTGTTTAGTAGGTTTAGGAGCACACAGCAAAACAAATAAAAATCCTTTCCCTGTCACACAAGGAAAGGCTTACATAGCAATAGCGGCCGGCGGGGCTAAGACCCTCTTACCTACAGACTAGCAAAAGCCCAAACTATTCCCTCATGTTAACTCCTGCTACCTGGTGACCACAGCACCTTGTGAACAAATGTTGTTGTTGTTGTAGTTGTTGTTTAATGACGTCGAGTCGTAGACGACTCATAGCGACCCTATGAACAAACAGCCTGAACACCGTTCGTACATAGAGTTTCCAGAGGCAAGCCATTTTGGAAGCGGATGACATTATTTCTCCACTCATCCACCCATGTAACAAACACTTGGTGAGCACCTACTATGGACACGAAGAACACTAGGGCTAAAATGATCAATGAAATCCAATCCACTGTGTTCACTATGGAACCTGACCTAGTGGGATCCATGACCATAAACAGATTTATAACTTACAGTAAGTAAGGGTTAGTAAGAATGCTCACTGCTCAGTAAAGACACAGAGAAAAGAGGCAGCAGTATCTGAGAGGCGGGCAGGGCAAGGCCCTCTGAGGACTTACCTCCGAGCAGAGACGGACGTGTGAGGGAAGAGAGTGTGGGCAGCGGGAAGGCATGTCAGGTGTAGAAGGCCCTGGACAGCCACCCACATGATGAAACAGAATTTAGAAATAAACACATGGACTCAGGCTCCTTCCCGCTTCCACTTTAGAAAACAGGAAAGTATGTAATTCTATATGCCCCATGAAAACCTGAAAACTATTGTGTATAAAACCGTATTTGTATGTACTTAAAAATGTCTTTTATTGTTATTTTAATGAAAGTTTACAGAAAGGTTGGGGTTTTTATTAATTCATTGATGCATTATATGTACTCCCCCCTTGGTAAATAAGTATACATGTTAAAAAACACTTGCATCTCAACCCCGTTAGCAGACATATCATTACACTTGCCATGCTATGCTGTTCAACAATGACCATTATCTGTGTTCAGGATTTTCCATCTCCCTCAACAGCAGCTCAGTTCTGCTAAGCATCCAGTCTGCCTCTCTTAATCCCCCACCTCGCTGCCATCCTCAAGAACCAATGAAGGATGGTGAGAACACAGTACTCTGGAGCACAAGTTCCACTCCGAGACGGAGCTCACAGGACCTGTTCTCTGTGATTCACCTTCCCCACCAGCACAATGCCATTCTGTCACACTGCTGTACACACAACACTTCACTTCTCTTTCAAAGTACTAGTCCTCTTTATATATGCAACTTATTCTACTTGTTGTTAAGTACCGTCAAGTCTTAGACGACTCACAGCGACCCTACGAACAAAAGACTTGAGCACTGTTCATAGAGTTTCTGGAGGCAAGCCATTTCAGAAGCAGATGCCACTCCTGCTTCCAAGCTTGTGTTAATTGGGAAGCTCCACCAAACACTGTCCACCATGGGTAACCATTAAGGCATCTGACATATTATTGTCACAGTGTTTAGCATCACAGCAAACATGCGTTACCTCTGTACAGCAAGTGGACAGACTAGGACTATACGACCTAGAAGAATGTTTGACAAAAAACAATTTAAACGAGGCCCGAGGGCCGCAGATTAAAATCACCCACCTTGGGTTTGGGAGTATAACTTTCTGTCCACTAGGCCAACGTAACTCTATGTTGTCGTTGTTACTGTTGTTAAGTGTCACTGAGTCATAGATGACTCCATTTCTTGCCTACTACAAATAATGCTCCTGGGAAGGGCCTTGGTGCAAATTCAAGTTTGTGTTCCTGCTTTCAATTCCCCTGGGACTAAGTAGATTTAGTGGGCCAAAGACCAATTCTATGTTTCACTCTTTGAAGAACTGCATGACAATATTCCACAGCATCTACACATCTTTCAAGCCCACCTGAAGTAAATGAGGGTTCCTATTTTGAAGTGTGTAGTTCTCATTTTTAAATCTTTGTCATTTCAGTGGGCATGAAGTGACATGCTTTATCCATTAATTGGTACTTTAGTTTTCCTGGTGTGATTTGGGTGAAAATTATTCCAACAGTGCCATTCTTATTTTGTCTGTTTAAGTACACACAAGATTCTGACATAACCTTGTATGTAACACTTTTAGTAAATTCAATTTGCATTATCTTCATTTCTTGACTAAAGCAACAAATAGTTCACATTTCCCTTGCTTTCATGGACCTGACCCCTCATATTAGTCTATGAGCCACAAGAATAGTTCTAGAAACCTCACCAGTGCTCTGAAGAGACATGTTAACTAACCAAAAAGGAAAACACAAACAAAATAGGCACACAGGGAACAAATGATAAAGTGAGCAATGCAAAGATGGAATACAGAAAGAATCTCTCCTAACGTGTAATAAAACAACGGGACAAGACTTCCATCCACAGATGTGCAGACAGGCTTTTCTTTAATGGGCAGATCTGATTCTAACATAAAGAGAAGAGGCAGGAGTGTAACTACACAACTGAGCATCACAAATACAGGCAATGTTGAATGACAGGGAGGTGCAGTCATGATTATCTGACCTGTGACTTAACTATTAACAGGAAAACATATTTGGGAGAAACTGGACAAAGTCTTGAAAACGAGGCAAAGGAAACAGCATGAAGGAGTGAGAACAGAGAAAGCCAGGGTCGGGCACCACCGGCGAAGCACAAAGACAGCTTCTTTCTTATTCTGAGATTCATAGGAACGACTATGGGAAGTTAAAGCACAACTAAGATTGTTCCAAGAGATTTGCATTACATGTTTCTAAGAACTACATTAAAAGTGGTCAGAATAATAGCAATCTCTCATCTTGCAGATCTGCTGGTCACTGAAGTGATACTCTGAGGTGGCCCTATACCCCTGTAGGGTTGGGGTGGGGGGCAGGAGAACCGAGACATCACCCCACCACACAATTCAGGGCCAGGCTTCCTATATTTTCCATTTAAATATACATGATCGCAGGTATCCTCACGGTGGGAACCTGTGCAAGATGGGTTACTCAGTACGGCTATCCTAGCCTCTGATTTTTACTTTCACCACATGGCTAGGTTCCAGACATCCTGTTGGGGCACACTCATAGCTGAGCCTCTAGTGGGTGTTCAGAGGCTGTGGGAGACTCTCAAATCACGTGGGTGGGGAGGGTATGACTCCTCATCTTTCTCCCACAGAGTAGCTGGTGGATTCAAACCACCTGCCTTTGTGTTGTTGGCAGCTCTACTCCTCCTTACTCACTAGGACACGGGGGCTCCCTACATGGCTGGGTGGAACTGTGCAAATATGAGGTGTTTATGGCCCGGCTAAGGGTACTGGATAGCTTGTTAGCGCTGTAAATCAGGTAAACAGCACCTTTTAGGCAGGAAGATATAAATTGGGTATGTGGATCATTAATGGCACCATCATTTTTGCCATGCCACCAAAAGAGACATAGTCAAATGAAATTCAATGAGGAAACACTTCTCCCTCCTTGCTCTGAATGGGATTATGCTAAAGTTGAGGCAGAACACAACAGTCTCACTACTCTTATGAGAGAAGAAGTTGAGACTATAGTATTATCTGCTTTGCTGGACCAGCACATGGCAGCCCAGGAAGCAGCAGTGAAGGTGGTAGAGAAGCAGAGAACCCGTGAGAATGAGGGGACTGGACCTGCTGTCCCAGAGCCAGACCCCAGCCAGGGCCTCGCTTACTGCTGGACAGAAGGGCCATCCAGGGAGCCAGAGCCTAGTCCATGACCTTACTTACTGCTGCACAGGAGAGCCAATTATGGCCAGACCCTAGCCCATAGCCTCTCTTACTGCTGGATGGGAGGGCTGTCCATGGAGCCAGAGCCCAGCCACGACCACCCTTAGTGCTGGATAGGAGGGCCATCCACAGAACCCAAGCCCAGCGACCACCTCACTTACTGCTGGACAGGAGGGTCATCCATGGAGCCTAGCCCATGCCCTTGCTTACTGCTAGACAGGAGGGCTGTCCACAGAGCAAAAGCCCAGCCACAGCTGCTGGACAGGAGGGACAGAACCGATGGGACTGAAAACTTTGTAACAGCTGCCCAAGTGCAGGTATGGCCCTGCACCAGGAGACCAGTGCAGAGGAGACTTCCAAAGCAGCAGCTATAGTGACTGAAGAATGTAACTTCCCTAAAAACCCCTCAGCTGTGAGTTCTGTGTGGTCACTGCAACGAATTCTTACCCCCAGCAGGA